ATATCTTTTTAATGACACCCAAAAGATTTCACCATCCCAGCTGGGTATCTCCTTCCCCAAAACACAGCTCATTTCAAAAGAAGATATGAAGAAAGCACCCTATAGTCATGGGGGTAATGTAACGTGGCCATAAGGAGCCAGTTGCAAAATAGAATACACTACAGCATAGAAGAAGCAAGCCAGCAATCTTTAGCCACAGGCAGTATGGTGAGACAAAAGATGTCCAGTTCAAGAGATCCGAGACCACCTCTTCCTCAGCCCCTGCAATGCACCCCAGAAGTCATCTATAACAACTCACCATCCACAAGGCCACCACACAGAGCAAGCACAGCAACTTCCCCTTCGCTGACTCCCTTCCTTTCTCTAAGGGCTGCTGTCTGTGTCAGGTCAGAGCCAAGCTCTGGGCCCCTGGGACCACTGTCCCGTGACCTGCCCGGAACAGTCTTCAGGCCCTGAGCTCTCGCTGGCTCCTCTGATCAAAAAACTCCAATGAGACACAAGCTCAAAGCAGAGCACAGACCTGGCTGCCTAACAAACCGAGGAGGGTTTTTGAAATTCATATTCCCAGAATTAACCCCAGAGATGGTGGTCAGTTGATCAGTGGTGTATGTAGACTACAAGGGAGTGCCAGTGTCCAGCCCGGCCTGGGAATCTGTGGTCTAGAGAAGCTGAGGAAGCCTCTGTTTCTCTGACACTCTTTTATAGAAGTTTGCTTCATTTCTTGTCTGAATGGAGAAAAGGAAGATGGGGAGGGAAGACAGGAAAAAGCAAGGCAAAGGAGGAACTATTTTAAAACACAAAGGCCGAAGTGAGCTCAGTCCTCACACAGGCATTTAACCTCCTGAACCTTAGTTTCATCTGTAAAATGGCAGTAAGACCACCCTTGTGTGTGTGTGTGTGTGTGTGTGTGTGTGTGTGTGTGTGTTGAGGGATAAAGAGACATAAAATGCCCAATATATTTTACACAGTAACTGTCATAAGAAAGCATTCATCTGGCCTGGACAGATAGCTCAGTGGGTAAGAGTGCTGACTGCACAAGTACGAGGACCTGAGTTTGAATCCCAGTACCCTCACTTTAAAAAAAAAAAAAAAAAAAAAAAAAAAACTGGGTGCGGCCGCATGTGCTTGGAGAACAGGGACAGGAGGAGTGCTGGGGCTTCATGGCTGCCAGCCTAACTCCAGGTTCACCAAGAAACCCTGTTGCTGAGGAATAAGGCAGAGAGAGTGATACTGCAGAACACCCGACAGCTTCCTCTTGCCTCCTTGTGCACATGCACACATGTGTGTATGCACCACACACACACACACACACACACACACACACACACATGTACGCACACATAGAGTATTCATTCTCTTACCAGCTCTTCCATAAGAAAGAGTAATACAGACAGTTCTGAGTGTCTCTGCAAGAGAAACTATAAATAGGAATAATGACTGAACCAGGCATAAAAGGAAATTAAAAACAAAAGATGCCACAACGAAACCTACATCAAGGTTCAGAGGGGATGGAAAACACTCAAAGTAGGCTTGCTGCTGTGTCTGTGGGTGCACAAGAGACAATATGCCCAGGAGAAATCAACAGAGATTCACAAAAACAGGCATGAAACACATGAAGATTCTCTTCATCGCTATTTGTTAAAAGAGAAAAATCAGAAACTCTTAAATATTTTTTAAGGATTGCGATAAGCACGCATTACTTTATTTGGGAAAAATAGTCCTTTTTAATTTGAGGAAAATTACACAAGGGAATATGAACCAAACAGGCATTATGGTAAGTGCCATAGCCAGACACAGAGGGACAATACTGCATGATCTCACTCATGCGTGGACTCTAAAGAAGTCAGACTTACAGGAGTAGAGAGCAGCATGTGGTTACCAGGGCTGGGGGTAGAGGAGGGAAGAGGAGAGTTCAAACCTGAACCTTAAAATGAGTAAGTTCTGGGGATCCAATATACAGTATGGGGGTTATAGTTACTAATACAGTAGTTTATTTGAAACTTACAGAGTTCTCAACATATACACACATAACTGTAAGATATGTTAATTAATTTGATCATGCTAATTATTCAACAATATGTACATAGTACAAATCCTTATATTTTATACCTAGAATATATTCAATTTTGTCAATTATACCTAAAATAAAACTGGAAAAGTAAAAATAAATTAAAAAAATTTTTAAAGCAGACAAAAATCACCACAATACTAAACAAAAGTGGGAGATGAAGCCTCAGTGCTTTTCTCCTTCCACACTCTGCCTATGGGGGGGGGGCATGCACACAAACACACACAAGAGAACTTTCGAAATAAGCGCAATATCACCCACTGAGCCCTTTCCCACACAGTCTCTCAGAACCTATTTTTGTATTCCAGTGAGATTTGAGCAAAGAATACAGCTTTGGTAAAAAGAGGAAATAATTGCTGTGCTGTGCCTCAGGTTTTCTCACTTCCTTATTTGAAAACTATCACCCAACAAGTCCAAAAACTTCAGAACAATAGTACAGTCTCCCATACGCTGCTGCATATGCTCCCATATGTATTGCTGCAGACCTCTGGAAACTGAACTGGATCAGTTTAAAAGTTTGGGTAACTTTCTATCTTCTTAGCAAACTTATAATGATATGTTACAGCACAGGGGCTGGAAGAAACTTTCCAAATCACCTGGTTCAACCCCATCATTTTACAGACGAAGAATTTGGAAGATAAAGTGGCTGCTTCAAACACATTGAAGACTAATTTAAACATCTGTTCAATTTGAAGAGGGCTGCCAAACTTGGAGAGGGTCTGGAAGATAGCATAAAACCTGAGAGATATTTTTTAGTGGAATAGGAATGATTACCAATTATTAAATGAAGGAAGAATCAGGATTAAGGTGGCAGAGGGACCTCCAGTGTTAGTACCATTTATATCTAGAGAACTGAGAGGTTAAAACTGATCAGAGTGAACACACTGACTCTGTAAGTAGAGACGAGAACTCTGGGGCTCCACTCTGAAGACTAGTAGTTTAATCATCAAACACTGGCCTAATTTTATACCTATACCAATGGGTTGTCCAGGAGCTGTCATGGTATAATAGTTCTCTCATTTGCAGAAAAGTAGACGCTGAGAAACTGGTTCATGCACAACCAGTTGAGGCTGTTAGACCCTGGGGCAGCAGCATCTAGGAGCTCCTTAGAAATGCCCTGTCCAGACCTTCAGTCAGAACGGGCCACTGACAAGGCCCCCAGGTTTTTCTGTGCACATGAAAATTTGAGAAGTGTTTATTCAAATTCAAGTATAACTGATTATGTATGACCACCTGCAATCTAAGTTTCCATCCTCCTCTTTTCTTTCCATAATTCCATATGTTCCTATACCCATTGATTCTGAACTGCAGATTTCCCACTAAGCAGCTTACTTTAATCTCTTATTAAAATAATCTTTTTCTAATGACAGGTTATTTGCTCTTAGAACAGAAACACTACTGTGAATAGTAACTATTCGTCTTTCTGAAACACTGGAAGCTGACGGCTCCAGTGTTTGAATAACAAGAGCCAGAGTCTGCAATAAAAAGTAAAATATCAGAGGAAATCAATTTATCCAGATATCTAATCATTACTTCAAATAATATTGAAAGAATCCCTTTGATTGATTGGTTGATTGATGCCTCTCCCAAGACCTTTAATATTTTTAATAATATCACCACCATACTGTTTTATGGAACAATCATCAGAGTATGTAGTGTGAGGTGCTAGTACAGTGACCGTACTTCGATGGAGCTCTGAATGATTGATTGGTGGTGGGTCACAGCAGCCTGCCACGAGGTCATATTGGACTTCTGCAATGAAAGAACTCAATGGCAGGAACAACCAGTGTGTCTCAGTTCTTTGTAAGTTTGCACGGTTCACAGCTCTCTGAAAGCAACAAAAAGTGATCATGCACATTCGAATTGTGTGCTTTTTATGTCATGGCAAAGTAAAGATGAGAAAACTCTAGAAAAATGACAGATCCAGGTCCTAGAAATTTCAGGGGAGTCATCTTTTGCTTTGACACCAGTCACCTGTATGACAAGGTGAGCAGGACTCTCCTATGCTAAGAGACCAGGTCATGCCTACTGGTTGAGCACGCCTTCCTTCTAGTGTGCTGTTCAAGAGTTATATTACCTTTCTTGATTCAGCTCATCCAATGGGCCAGGAATGGATGAGCTAAATTAATGCACAAGTTTCACAGTGAAACTGGGCCCATAACTGTTCAGGCTTCTTGGATGGTGTCAGGTATGTAAGATCGAAAATGATAAGGAAACAGAAGACAGACGCACAGGCCTCTCATAACCCACAGTAAGGGGGTGGGGGCAAAAGAGGAAGAGAAGCTGTGACTCTCATTCATCCCAGTACGCATCTTTCCGCTACTGTTAATCCACACTTCCTGGGCCCACTGAAGTCACTAGGCCTCCAGAAAGGACTGGAATGGTCTCCCTTTAAAAAGAGAAGCAGTGTGAATGGCAGAAGCCGGGCTGGTGGGCTATAAAAAGGGCTATTTCTCTATAAACAGGTCACCCAAAAGTGACACCTTTTCCTTGATACCATCAAGGCGATTACTCTGTGAAACTGGAAGCATCATGAAGCAGGAGGCCTGGCAGCCAGCTCTTCACACCCACAACCAAATCTCTGCTTCCCTTTGCTTTCTACAGGAACCTGAGTCCTGTGGCTTCCCAAAGCATAGAGGAGGAGGGGAGGTTTTAGTCTAGCACAGGGCAGAAGGAAAAAGGCCTCTCTCTACAGACCCATCCCATCAGTCTCTATCTGGGGGTTTAAATCCAAGGCCTTGCACATGCTAGGCAAGTGCTCGGCTCCTGATCTGGAGCCTCTGCCGGTGACCAGGTCTCTTAGGAGAGCCTCCTTCGTTTTGCAGCACAAATTACTCATCAGCACACAAAAGATGCCGTGCCTGAATCTAGAACCCACAGAGGCGATTCTTCTTGAGCTCGTCGCTTTCGCTCAGAAGAGACCCACCCCTACCTTCAGAAATGACCTTCTTCACTGCGGCCAGGTAAGTCTCGGGCTCGTCGTCACAGGTGAGCTCCTGCCACTGGGCCCAGTCCGGAAAGAAGGCCTGGAAGTCGTCGTCGCTGGCCTGCACCCCGCAAAGCAGCCGCACCACGCGCTGCGGTGGGTGGAAGGCGCGCTGCAGCAGTGGCAGCAGGCCGGGCTGGCAGAAGCACTGCACCAGCTCGGCTGACAGCAGCACTAGCACGCAGCGCGCGCCGCGGAAGACCCGCAGATCCTCAGCCGAGAAGGAACTGTCTAGTCCCAGCCGGTGCGTCAGCATCTTCTGACTGCTGACCTGCCTGCAGGACAGGAAAAGGTCCTGTAGGTACTGGCACCATTCCTCAGCATCCCTGCTGTAGAAGATGAGAATGTCACATCCTCCACATCCTCGGGCACCCCCTGCAAGGAGACATGGAAGTTTGTTAGCATGCCTGCTCCTTCCAGAAGGCGTTCTGCAACAGGCCAGAAGCACTATCCAGCGGGGCCTGGCACCCTTGGTCTTCTGGGTCTACCTCTGGAATATCTTGTCTAGTCTCCTTCGTGCTTACAACCCACCAATGTGCCAACTAGACCAGACTCTTTGCCCAAACACATCACAATGTTCTAGATCCTTGAGACGAAGCCGTTGCTTCACCCACATGCTGCTCAGGCCTTGCCCTCCCCACAGCAGGTACAGTCCAGGACAGTAACAACAAGCAGTCATACAGACCTCGCTGTTCCGGCATCACCTGATAAACTCACTTAATCCTCACAGCATCCTTATCTGGTAGGAACCACTACTGGACTATTCTAAAGATGAGGAAAAAATATTGGTGTGGCAGGTTGAGTAATTCACACAGAGTTCAAAGCACAGTGGTACTCACTATTTGAACTTGGCTTGATTTGACCCTGAACCTAGTTCTGACTCAAATATAGTGAGTGGTCAAGAGCACAGGACCAGGAGGATCAGACGCCAGGGTCTGACCCTTGGCACAACCAACTGCCTCTGTCACCCTAGGAAAATCACTAAAATCTTCTAAGCCTCAGTTTACTCATCTGAGCATGGAAACAGCATCACATGAGTACGGAATTAGCTATTTCAGGTCACCTGATCAGCATAGAGCTTGAAAGGAAAAAAAAGAACTCTCAATAATCAGTCATTGGTGCCATCATCCTCATGTTAATAATGTATCAATGTATATGGAAACTGATTGAATTCATGACCTATAGCACACTATTCATACAGTCCCCATACCTGGTCTGTGACATGGATTTTCTTCTCCCTCTAACAAAGCACAGGCTCTGGGGGCTCACCTGGCCCACAGTCTTCATTTATAGTTAAAACAAATGCTTTGTGTGAGAAGATAAAGGAACTGACTCAAATTCATACTCAGCAAATAATAGTCTGGGTTCCCAGTCCAATCCTTTGCTCTAGCCCCTACTGCCTCCTATCAGGACATTTGTCAAGAATCTTATGAGAGATAAGTCACATCTTCCATGGATCAAAGCTTGAAGAAGCTTGGCTCCAAACATAACTTTGCCACTTCCAAGCACTGTTTCAACAGTCTATTCTGTGTATGATGGAAGAGGTGTGCACAGAGTACCTTTGCATCTTACAATGTGCCATGGGTCCTCCTCCTCTTGGAGAAGGACACTACATACATTTTGTGAAAAAGGAATCTAAGTTGTGTTTTCACAATTAAATGTCAGTCCTGGGACTGTTAAGATGGCTCAGCATGTAAAGGCACTTGCCTCGAACAAGCCTGGCAGCCTGAGTTTGATCCCCAGAAGGTGGAAGGAGTGAACCCACACCACAAAGTTGTCCTTTCACTTCCACATGCACGACATGGCATATGTGTTCACACACTCATCTACACACACACAATAACAATAAATAATGAAAAAAAATAAGTCAACCCTGGTCCACATATCACTGAGTGGTTCCAGGTGAGGTCACAGGCAGGACTGAGGCAAGATTTTGAGGCTCTAAGGTCTGAAAAGATCATGGGAAGAATCCTCTATGTAGCTAGCTTGAATGCTAAAGCCTCCTGTCTCCACTTCCCACGTCCTGGGATTTAGAGGTATGCGTCACCATGTCAAGCCGATGTTTTCAGAAGAACCGACAAGTGTACAAAGTGAAGGAGAGGAAGAACATAAGCATCCTTAGCAAGGCTTGGGGCTTGCTTGGGGCAATCTCTCTTGGGGAGAGACTGCTCAGTGGTTAAGAGCACTGGCTGCTCTTGCTGAGGCCTCGGTTTGGTTCCCAGCGCCCACACGGTGGCTAATAACAACTGTTCATAACTCCAATTCCAGGGGATCTGACACTCTCTTCTAACCTCTGTAGGCACTGCATGACACAGGCACACTCACATACATATAGGCAATACATTCATATGCTTAAAATAAAAATAATAATAAATAAAAATATTTTTTTTAAAAAAGGAAGTAAGTTTTGTAACCCAGGCACTGAGCAGGTAAAGGCAGAGGACCAGAAGTTCAATATCAGGCCAGCGAGATGGCTCAGCAGGTAAAGGCACTTGGTTGCCAAGCCTCACGACCCAAGTTCGATCCCTAGAACTCACACACAATAGAAGGAAAGAGACAACTCCCAAAAGCTGTCCTCTGGCCACCACATGCATGCCATGGCAAACACGCACACAAACACACACACATAATAAAATATAATAATTTTTTAAGTTCAAAGTCAACCTCAGTCACATATTAAGTTTGAGGCCAGCCTGGGCTACATAAAAATAAAAGTGAGGATGCACAGGTCTTTGAGACATACTGTCTTAGAAGAAAAGAACAATTGCCCTAAAGACCACATGGCTATGAGTGACTACTCCAATTTTATGAGGATTTAGTGACCCCAGAGCTTCCTCTCCAGTTCCTGCTTTTTGTAAACAGCACATCATAATAGTTGCTTTTCTTTAAATACTGAGTCATTAAGGAAAGCTTTATCTGTTTGGGTTTTTTTTTAATTTACTTGTATTTTATGTGTATGACATTTTGCCTGCATATATGAAAGTGCACCTGTGTCATTCAATGCCCGTGGAGGCCAAGAAGATCCCCTAGAACTGGAGTTATGAATGGTTGTTACCTGTCATGTGGGTGCTAGGAACTGAAGTGGGGTCCTCTGGAAGAGCAGTCAGTGCTCTTAGCTGCGTAGCCATCTCTCCCACCCCATTGTAATGAATCTTTCCTGGGCACTGACCATGTCACTCTGCTAAGCACCTCCGGTACACTCTCTCACTTAATCCTGAGGAGAATCCTTCAGAGCACATGCTCTCAAGACCCTCACTTGACAGATGACATTAAACCTCACTGAACATGAACTGCTGCCAAAAATTGCACTGTGAGGGACAGACCAGGTATTTGAACTCAGATACCACTAACTGCAGAGCCCCACTAACTGAGGAGCCCCATGATGTGAATTTCTAAAGTGTACCCTATTATTTAACCTTATTATTTAAAAAACAAGGAAATGCAAACTACAATTTAGAAAATATAATTAAAATAGATCTATTGTCATTAGTTTGGAATACCATTCTCTGATAAAAAAAAAGCCAGGACATCTTAGAGAAATGGCTGATTCTCTCATGATCTTAGGAATATGTATTCCAGGGGACAAGAAGCACCCCAAATGAGCCTGGAGCATCTTGCAGTAACAATAAATTAGGAAGTGCTCAAGCAAAAAGAAAAGGATGAACATATGTGAGAAGGAATGAGAGTCAACTGAAAGGGCTCCCCTATGCCCAGGCAGGAGTGAGAACAAAGCACAGAACAGTAGAGACTGAAAGACAAAGTATAAGAAAATGCCCACAAGCCCATACTGGTAGAATGAAGTGATCAAATAAATAACTGGAGAGAGGCTGGGGACGTAGCTCAGTGGCAGAACACTTGCCTAGCATGCACAAGACCCTCACTGCAATCCCCAGCACCTCAAATAATAAAATAGCAAGAATCAAAAACTGAAGCAAAAAGACAAAATTTTTATACATAAGAATTACAGATAGTTTCAGATAATTTCTCAAATGATAACCCCACCCTCCAGGAAATATAACACGACATCTCTTAAATGTGGGCTATGGCTACTGATTTCATTCCAAAGAGCAAAATGTGGAAAGACAGAGAAAATAACTTCACAGTGGACGAATTCCATATCAAAGTCGATATCAACAACCAGGGATAATGTTAATAGTCTAATCACGAGAAAAACATCTGATAAACTCAACTGAGGGACATTCTACAAAATCACTGAGTACTCCTCAGGACTGTCAAAGTGGGGAAAGGAGGATGAATATGTATGATTGACTACATTGTATACATGTATGAAATTCTCAATGAACAAATTAAATATGTTATGTATTTTTAAAAGACTGTCAAAGTGATAAAAATCTAAAGGAATATGATAAAATCCCAACCAAGAGGAGCCTGAAGAGACATCATTAGTAAATGTATCAATGGTATGGCAGGTGGGAACCTGGGACGGAGACAGGACACTGTAGAAAAACTAAGTAAACTAGAATAATTCATCACCCAAAATGTGGGAAGCTGAGGAAGGGGAATCATGAATTGGAGTCCAACCTGGGATATGTAGTGACTTCCAGGGTAACCTGAGCTACATGGTGACATCTTGTCTCAAAAGACTCCCCCTAAGATAGTAATTAATCAATACCATAGCAGTTGTAGCATACTAATCTGAATTGCTATTGAGAAGGGAAACTGGGCTTAGAACATACAGAAACTCTCTGCATGTCTTTGCAGTTTTCCTGGAAATCTAAAACTGTTCCAAAATAAGTTTATTAAAAATAAAATTAAATGTGGAAAACAGCTATTTAAAATGGCTTATTCCACTGGGCATGGTGGCACACACCTGTAGTGTGTGCACTTGGAGGCAGAGGCAGGCAGGTCTCTGTGAGTTCAAGGCCAGCCTGGTCTACATAGCGAGCTCCAGGCCAGCTGGGGCTACAGAGAGACCCTGTCTCAAGAAGACCAAAAATAAATAAATAAGTAAATAAATAAATAAATAAATAGTCTTGTTCCTGGGTTCTAAGTTGAAATTCAATCCCCTCTGAGTAAGAGTATTTAAGAAGGAAGTGGTTAGTGCCTCAGACAAGTTAATATCACAACCTATTTGGTCACTGACCTGTAGTGTGACTTCAACCAATATCCTAAATCTAGGCAAATCTGATCTCAATGTAAATGACGGCAATTAAATCTACATTCGTCCTGAATACTGAGGTGCTGCTGAAACAGAAAGCTGGGGAAGTTGTAAAAAAGTCCAAAGTGGAAGTTCAAGTTCCTCCCTGACCTACTGGGAACAGGACAGAACTGTGTGCTTTGTCAGCAGTCCTCTGCTGTGGGGGAATGGCCCTCTTCTAAATCGCTTCTCTTACTGCTTTACCTATTTATTTACTTTTATTTTAAATTAAAATATATAGTGCTTACCCAAAAATTAGTGTACAGAAGTATTCAAAGAATAAAAAACATACTTTAAAATTCAGATTTCCCAACATCCTCTCATGAAATTGTTTGGACATGGCCTACTTAAAGACATATTTTCCATTGAAAATGTGTCATGTCTTTTTTCAAAGATTTATTCATTTGATTTTATGTGTTTTGCCTGCATGTACATATGTGCACCACATGTGTGCCTGGTACCCAGTGCCCATGGAGGCCAGAAGAAGGTGTTGGATCCCCTGGAACTGGAGTTACAGACCTTGAGAGCTGCCATGTGGTTGCTGGAAACCAAACATGGGTCTTCTGCAAGAGCAGCAAGTGCTCTTAATTGCTGAGCTAGCTCTCCAGTCCCTAAAAATGTGTTCTATCTTGAGAGAAGATTCAAAGGACTTATACAAAGTATACTATACATCTATATATGAACTAATTAGCATACCTTCAAAAATTACTCTTTCTTGCTCTCCTTTCTAAAAATGATACTATACCCACACATGCATTTGTCTACATATATACATGTATACATTATAGGCTAGGATTTGCATATGTGGGAAAACATGAGGTTTTCTTTCTTTCTGCGATTGGGCGACCGTGCTTAATATTATACATTCTAGGTTCATCCATTTTTCTGCAAATTTAGTGATTTCATTATCCATTTGCTGATGGACAACTAGGTTGGTTCCATTTCCTTGCTACAGTGAACAGAAGAGTAATAAATTATTAAGAGAAACAATACGCAAACCAACAAGGAGCCCATAAACCCCTGACTGAACTGAGAAAAGGGCTTTGTTCTAGTGGTGCTTGAAGAACAGGTTTGACTACAGGAGAAAGAGCGGATGGGAGGAGAGGAAGGGGCTGACTGGTGGCAATCGAGAGTCAGTGGTGGGAAAAAACAGTGACTAAAAAAGAAAGGACACTGAATGATTCAGAGTCCACCTGAGAAAAGAACAGAGAGGAAGTGCCTGCAGGTGACCTTGGCACCCTGTCCATTTGGTCTGGAGCCCTGTCCATTTGGTTGGCATACCAATTTTTAAAAATTTTTATCTATTATTATTTTGTGTGTATGATGTGTGCGTGTTTATGAGTTTGCATGCATGGCACACATGTAGAGGTCAGGGGACAACTTGCAGGAGTCAGTTCTCTTCTTCTACCACGTGTAGCCTGGGACTGAACTCAGATCATCAGGCTTGGCAGCACGTACTTTTACCAGCTGAACCATCTCACTGGCCCCTGAGCACCATATTTAAAGAGGAATGTAAGATAGGGAAGGCAACCAGGATTGGGCTTGGCAAGAGTATAGGAAGACCTCAGGGATCAAGTGGAAGTATAGATCACAGAAAACATGGACAGTCCTTCTGGCCTTATGGTGCTATAATGGATCCAGGAATGGCAGAAGGATCTAGAAGCAAGAAGTCTGGAGAGAGGGGGCAGGACAAGCTCTGAGAGCTTCCCTAAAATTCCTGGAGGCCAAGGTTGAAGGAGGGCTCTAGTCTTCAGCAGCTGCAGACCTGGCTCCTTGGGGGAAGTCCCAGCCTGTTCGTTGCTCTGTCTGGTAAACAGGACAGACACCATCGGGGCTAGAGACTATTCCAGCATAGGCTGATTCTGTTTCATTTCATCTCACTACTCAAGCATCTTTCGAGGCCAGGGAGCCAAGATCCTCCAGGGTTTCAAGAGGCAAACATGTCTTTCTGGAAACAAAAGACGAAGCTTACCCTTGAATGGAAGGGAATTTAAGAAGAACCGAGGATTAGATCCTAAAGAGGAATAAAGTATCAACAGAGGCTACAGTTGGGTGAAATTTGAACACATTGAGCTGTGTGAAAGAAGTCAGTCATCAAAACTATGATGTGATCCCATTCATACACAAGTCCACAGCAGGAAAATCTAGAGACAAGATAGATCAAATTGAAGAAGAGGTGAGAACGAGGGGAAACTCTCTTTGAGGGGAAGAACTTTTTCTCAAATTTACTATATCAATGGCTACACATATCTACGAAGACACTAAAAACCATTTCATAGTATTTTTTCAGGCATGTTCAACCAGCAGCCCATGGGCCAGAATAGCCATGAATGGGACTCAGTTCATCTGGAGATGATGTCATGTCATAGTATCAAAAGGTTGGACACCACCTCCCATCATGTAAACATATCATAATGACATCGTTTTAAAAATAAGGAAACCATGGAGGAGGGTGGGGTGGATGACTTCCAAGCATGGCATGTTGAGAAGAAGTATTGCTTCTCCCCACTATGACCTGCCCCCATAGGTATTTGTACCTCTAAACCTCAAGGAGCCTGAGGGACCTGAGGGGCCCAGTTCCCACTCACAACACCTGGTGGGGTATCTCACTGCAGAGGATACTGACAGCAAGAAGTTTGGATAACTTCAACCCTTAGTCTGCATAAAGCCCCCAGTTTGGCTTCTGGGATAGGGTCCCCTGAGAAACCTAAGTCCACCTCCCACCCCAGCCCCTTTTTACGCTTACTGGAGCCAGTGTTCTAGACACTGGACCCTGAGAGCTAGCTGCTTGGCCTCTTCTCCTCAAAGGCTCCCCAGTTTGCTGTTTCCAGTAGGCGGCAGCCTGTCCCAGCCAGAAAAGGAGGCAAGGGCTTCACCAGCTCCTTTTTTCCCAAATTGCCCACCCTCCCAGCCACACTGGTTGCTCCCTGTGTCTTGAACACAAGGCACAGACCACTTGCCTGGGGGTCTCTCCTCCACAGGCCACTTTCCTCTTCTCCTCCAGGTCTTGACTCATTTCCCTTGTTCTCCAAGACTTCACCTGGCCACTCCATTTAAAATCCTAACTCAAACCCCCTCATCCCTCTCTGTGTTTTCTCATAGCACATACCATGCCAAGTACTTTCCTATGGCTTCCCTGTCCCCTCAGTTCCATGGGGGCATGCCTTTTTTCCTCTTGCTTCCTGAATGGCCACTAAACACCTAGTACAGTGCCTGGAAACAATAAGCATGTGATAAATATTTATCCAATGAACAAACTCCCTCTGTGGAACCCTGCCTTGCCTTTCAGTGGAATGTGTAGACCAGGAACCTCTAATTACCCCAGGGCTCCTTACTCCCAGCAGCTTCTAACCTACAGAGCTCGGCTAGGGAGCCACAAGGTTGAGATGAACCACCTTTCCATTCGATTCAATAACAGGGCCTGTACCATCAGAGCCTTTTCCACAATAGTTCCAAAGCACCATGTGACCTCAAGCTAGACCTTGGTAGATCTGGAGAAATCATGAATTGAGCTGGAAAATACAAATAAGTCCACCCAAAAACCGTGACTGTCTCTCTTCTCATCTATGGAGTCCCTGATTACTTACTGCTTTCTTGCACACCACCAAAAACTTGTGGTGAACAGAGACCAGGCTGACCTGCTGACCACCAAGAACACAACAGGTATAGACTAGTGTGCATTGGGGTGTAGAGTCAGGGCTCCTTAGATGTCTGTCAATATCATTAGTTGGTTTGTGCTGGACCTCAGTGAGCAAGAACTTGCCAAGTATATACATATACACATCCATGAGCCCAAAAGGATCCAAGACCAGCCAGAAAAGACCCATGGCAACTTCTGATATGTAGATTTGCCCATCAGTCATCTAGGCCCCAAAGTTCCACAGAGAACATGGGAAAGATAACGATAAAAAGAACAGTGTGTTTAGTATTTTAAGCAAAATTCCAAAGAGGAAAGACAAACCCGGTGGAGGACGAAGCTGGCCCTTCTGATCTCCCAGGTCTACCTAGGACTGCCTGAGCGCCCCCTATTGATCGAACAGACCCTAAGAGATCGGGGGAGAGGGGGCCACAAAGTTAGACCACAGAGAGTTAGAAAGGACAAACTCCAATGAGAGTAGGAGGGAGAAAGGGAGACTCAGAAGCTGGGGTCGAGGGCGAGGCCCAGGCTGGCGCTGGAAAGAATCGCGCACAGGCTGGTTAGAGGAAACGTTAAAAAGTTCGGAGAGCAAGATTGCAACAGGGAACAGAGAAAAGACCTGAAAGAACCCAAGCTCATTGCACCGAAGACGCAGAGAAGCGCTGGATGGCATCAGAGGCGTCTGGGGGACCAGAGTGCGCGAGCCCGGAGCTGGGAGCCGCGCCTGCTACCCACCTGAGGCTGCCATGCCGCCGCGGGCACAGTTCGCATCCCCGGCCGGTCGGCGCCCGGTGCCCGGTGCCCGCAATCGCGGCGGGCGGCGTCCCTGGCGGGGGGAGGGAGGGGAGCCCGGCTCGTTGCAGGACAGCTGTGACTCTGACGCTTCCTCTCGCGGGGCATCAGGGACTCGCCGCGGGGGCGTGTCCACAGGGTCCGCCCCGCCTGCGGGACTTGGCGTGGCACCTGCACGCGCGGCCGTTGGGGAGGGGAAGTGAGAAGCCCACGCAGGCCCGACGGCTCCCCACACGGCCGTCGGTTCGCACCAAGTGTTCCAACGCCTTGGGAAAGCAGGCCGCTACTCCGCTGGCTGCCAAAAGAGGGCCCCCGAGGTGGGGCACTGGAGGAGGGAAAAGAGGCGGGCAGGGCTGGAGGGTCTCTGGGACCTGATACCATGTATAGCACAACTGTCCCAATCACCTCACCCCTTAGGGCTTGTCCCTGAGACGCCGCCCCAAGAAAGGGGGAGGGCCTGGACAAGGGGATGGAGGGGCACCTGGCTTTGGGGGTTGGCGTTGCCCTTGGGTGCCCTCCTGTGACCCTTCTGCAGCTCCTTGGATCTGGTCCCCTGAGCGCACACTGGCGTTAAATAGTCTTATTTGGTAGATGGATGTAAGTTATTGCCAGGCCTTTTGATCATCATTTCCTTTTGGCTCTCTTCTGACACCCTCCACTTAAAAAAAAATTTTTTTTTATTACATTTTCATTTATTTGTTTTGGGATGAGTATATGCATGTGTATGTCTCGGGGCACATAGAGAGGTCAGAGGCTAACTGCAGGATTCTGTTCTCTCCTTCCACCCTGTGGAGGTCTTTGGGGGCAAGGTTGGCAGTGGTGGGCATCACTGTGAGACTCTGGGAGAATGCCATCAGATAGAACAAGTCATTACTGTCATAGTAACCAACATCCAAGTGTCAACCTGGACTAGTGGAAAAAAGGCAGAGAAGAGGGATGTGTGATGGGGACAGAAATCTAGTTTAAAGACGGGCCCTGAATTCTTTACCTGAATCCTTCACTAAACACCGAGGGGGCAAACAGTGACCCTCAAAGTCTTCTACTTCCTGGTGTGGATGGTGAGGGGATCCCAGGTCAGATGATGCCAGGCTCAAACACTGACTTTCTACCTCCTACCTTGGCTAGAAGCCTCTCTCATGTTTCACAGGCCTTTGGACCTAGCTGGCCTGCACTTTCTGTTGGAATAATTTCCACTGGTGTCCCTGCCAAGTCCCTGATGTCCCCATTTCAGATGTGTGGTCCTCCCTTCCTGCTGGTCCCTTATTAGGAAGTAAGGGCCCTTTCCTGACTTCTAACTATGAGGATCTGGACAACTTTTAACCTAAAAGATATTCCTACACTTGCTCCAAAAGTTAAAGTCATCTGCCAGCTGTGGGTACACTCAGGCACTGAGTCAGCTGGCCACATTCGTCACACTGTAGAGCAACACTGACCCCTGGAATTTGGCTGGGAAGAGGACCCAGAAGCCAATATTCCCTGGGTGGAAGGGAATGTAACCTGATCCTCTTTCCTCTAGTGGATAGGATCAAGTTGGGGGATGTAGCGTCTCCAGTTTTGCACATCTGTGGTTGCAGAATGTGGCCTGGGAGAGGAATGCAACTGCCCTCCAAAGAGCCCACCATGTAGGCTTGTAGAAGGATAAGGAACTCAAACCTAGCTGTTGCCTGCCAGTCCAGTTTGACATGGCAAACAGGAGAGCCAGAGGTGGCACATAGGGCAAAGAGAGAGAAACTCCTATTCCTTACATCAGGATATTATTTTTGAAATCTCAGTCCTAGGGAGTGGGGTCTTTGCTGGGCAAAAGGTGGAGGTGAAGGAGCATGCTGCAGTGGGTGGTCTTACTCCAGCCTAATTCTCTTAGCTTTCCAATGAGACTGGTATTGATAGTATATCTCTGCAGATCAAGAGGTTAAGAACTTCTGTCCACAGGTACACACAGGGCTATTTGAACCCAACCACTGTGGTTCAAGAGCTCCTACACTCAAGTATAAATGCATGGTAGACCTCCTATAGACTGAAGGGCCCAATAAGTCACCACAAGCCTGTGCCAGCATCATTTCCATGGCAAGTGGGCATGGCAGAAGCTCTGTTACCTGTGGGCTCTCTCTGCCATCCCTGAAGTGTCCAACTCTCTCAGGAAAGAGCCACCTGGGAATGGGTGCTTGCCTCGCATGCCTCTCTCTCTGCCTACCTCCCCTTCCACCCTTCCATGCTCTGAACTTGGCAGCTCCTTGGAGGCGGGTCTCTGTCTCTTCACACCCCATTTCCAGTATCTAGCATGGGGCACAGCACACAGTAGAACTTCAACTGTGTTGGTTATTTGTTTTTAAATCACCAAATCCAAGTGGCTCACTTTCCAGGGGAGGTGAAAATGTACAGTTTAAGTGACCTGCCTCAGGCCCCACCACCTTCATCTGAAGGTCTTAGTCTTAACATTGTTTCAGAGTCCAAGGAGACTGTATATACCATCAGGTAGAAAGCATGCAGATAGGATGACATGGGATGGGCAGGTTGGGGAAGAGATTCCTGGTTTTTCCTGGTAAACACTCTGGATTGATAAAGACTACTGCCCCTTCTACCTGCTCCAGACAGTTTAAGCCTGACCCAACAGGGCATCCATTATATTAAAACCTAGTGCAGGCAACTGCAGAATATTTCTAACATTTCAGGAGCAAGTAGCTTTGCAAATGAAGACTAGAAGCCTATTTCCTAAAAAAAAATATATGAAGGGGTTTAAATGGAGTTACCCTATAACAGAGTGGGGGAATAATGTCTCCCCCAGATACCACAGGCTATCAAAATGCCCGTTGTCAGGTATGGGTTACCTCTTTTCACGCTGTTGGCCAGTGGGATCCCATAGGTCCCCAAAACAATATAGGCTATTGCCATTGCTCTTGGTTACGTTCTAGAACTTGATGGTAAGACACCACTAATACCACATGCCTGAATCATAGGATATGGAAAAATCAAGCTGGTACCAACCTTGAAGCTTCATTCCTTCTGGCTAGCTTTTATAGTGCTGGAAGGTTCTATGCATGCAACTAGGAAACAAAATTCAACAGTCTTATCCAGTTGTGAACCCAGAGAGCTACAATAACTACTGGCCTGGCAAGATCTACCCACTGGTACAATAGTGGCATGAATGTTATAGGGGTGATTAAGCACTTTCTAATTGGATTTAAAGCCCACTTCACAAGGTGGAACTCATGTCTGGTACTATTAACTGGGCCAAAACCATGGCTGGCTAGGTCATAGACCCTAAGGGAGAACCTATCGCTATTATTCCACTAAATGGTCATAATTAATAAACTTCCCCCTAAGTTCTTATCTTTATACCCACAGGTTAGTGCATCTCTCAAACCCCTTTCAAAAAAGCTTCTTTTTACATAAGAGACCCAAAACTGGCCAAAGTGCAGAGAACAAAAGACTGTGGCATTCTCAGCTCTAAATGGGACATCTATATCATGCTTCCTCATCCCAAGGTAGAGGGATCACTTAGAAAAGGTGGAAAGATTTGCAAAAGCCAGGGGGCATTGAGGCCTGTAGCAAAATAGTATTTTCTGGACATGAAAGTGCACACATGAATGCAGAGCAGGTGGAACAGCATGCACAAGACTTGCACAAGATCAAGCCAGCCAAACTCCCAGCGTGGATGGGGGAGGGACTAATGAAGCCCCACCCGATATGAAGAGCTATTGTCAGTTGATGGCTGGTGGGGGAGGGAGTTCTCCTCAGGAATACAGGCCCTGAGAGGCTACCCATGTTCCAATAGACACACATACAGACAGCACTGAATGGATTCAGTGGGTATTTAAAAGATTTTTTTTTGTCTTTTTGAGACAGAGTCTCCCTGTAGCCTGAGCTGTCCTAGAACTCACTATGTAGACCAGGCTGGCCTTGAACTCACAGAGATCTGCCTGCCTCTGCATCCCAAGTGCCAGGAGTACAGACGTGCGCCACCTCGCCCGGCAAAGGAGAGCACATGAAGTTGAGAGGAACAGTGGTGGGAAGGACAGAGGAAGAAAAGAGGGTGGATTTGATCAAGATATTACATGCATGTATGAATATTAAATAAGATTTTTTTTTTACAAAATCACAAGAAGCCTCACCTGTAAGAATACAATCATCTTCTTCATGCACCAAAGTGGCTACTCTCCCTGAAGGTCCTGTCTCAGCTCAGAGGCTCCTCTGTGGAGCATTTTAAGCAGTAGCAATGCCATTTCCAGGCCTGGGGTGCAAGTTCAAAGACACAGGGTACTAGGCATCTGCTGTTTGGGCCCAATAAGGTAATTATCCTGAATCATTGTCATTTGATCAATGAGTATTAAATCTGGACTATGAATTTGAATCCCCTCATTGCTCAAGAGCTTCCTGCTTTGCCCTGGGTTGCAGTTCCAAAGCCTGTCAGATGTCCTGTGTTGCTGCCACAATCCCCAAACAGAAGTGACATTAGGAATGTAGAAAAAGAGTGCCATAGGGATTGCTGGTTGCTCACCTAATATCCATTCTCTCTTTGTTTCTTAGTAGCTGAATTCCAATTTTATTTGGGGGTAGCAATGTGCCCCACTAAAAGACCCCACTCTCCAGCCCCTCTTGCAAATTCGCAGAGGGCAACAAGATACAAATGAAAGATGTTCAGTGTGGACTCTCTAGGAAAGTTCTTTATAAGAAGTTTAACTCTGCTGGCAGATACCTTTTTTTCCTTTATACTATTTTATTAGCTCCTACTTGGAATGTAAATGAGATGGTTAGAGATCCAGTAGTATTCTTGAAACATGAAGTCATCATGTGGATAAAGCCATACACTAAGGATGGTACTACTGGAAGATGAGCAGAGGCTGACTTCCTACTGTGATAGTTTTAATTACCAACTTGACACAGACTAGAATCGCCTGGGAAGAGAGTCTCAATGAAGGATTGTGTAGATCAGATCAGCCTGTGGGCATATCTGTGGGGGGTTATCTTGTTTATGTTAACTGATGTGAAAAGATCCAGTCTACAGTGGGCAGCATCATTCCCTAAAGCAGGGGATCCTGGACTGTATAAGTGCAGAAAGGGTGCTGAGCTAAAGCATGCATACATTCTTCTCTGTGCCCTTGACCTAGCTGTTTCCCAAGTCTCTACTGCCTTGGTCTCCCCACTATAACCTGGAATTGTGAGACAAAACAAATCTTTTCTCCTCTAAGTTGCTTTTTGTCTGGGCATTTTATTGTAGCAACAGAAATGAAATTAGGATATCTATTAACCGCGGAGTTTCCTAAGAAGCTCCAAGCTTCCCACT